GAAGAAACCATTCGCTTTCGCTGAAACTTCCAACATTTCATAATGACACTGAGATCTGTCTTCAGGTAAAATTTCAGACTAAAATTCTGCAATGATTCGAAAATTCATTAAAATAATCATAACACAAGAAAACAACACTCTTTTTCTTGTATAGATCAATAAATTCAATCTAAAACCAAACAATAAAACTTTAGTTATTCAATTTATCTAGTTCGTAAATTTGTCTAGCTTTAAATGAATTCAGAATTTCATTAATATATGATAAAGATGAATCTTACCATTTAATCATAATTGCTATAGAATTAACTGGTTCAAATTGAATAATTGTTCGTGTACGTATTGGTGTGCCTTCAAGTGTACGAACTTTTATTATTTCACTTGCTGTACCAATACACCAACATTATTAACGACTGATAATATAGATATTAAACATGACTTTCATGTTATTACATCTAAAATTAGAAAAATAAAATTTGATTAGTTTTTGTATCGATGCACAAAACAAAAGGACTTTTAAAATATATGATTCTGCTGATGAATTAACACGAACTGATTTCCAATTTATGTTTGGATAATTTAATGTATAATTAATATTATAACTAATTAATTATATATTAATACTTGATTCTTTTTTATTCATAAATAATCTTACTTTCTTCTGATAAAGTTATTTTGTTATTAGGAGTACTTATTTTGACCTAAACGTAAATCAAATAGTTCGTTTTGTTTTTACTTGAGGTACTTAGGGCTAGTAGCGGTAGTACTTTAACACCTTATAGAAGACTTGACGAAATTTTCTCTATAAATATTCTGATTGCTTAAATAGTGTTCAATAGCATTTCATCACTTTACAGTTGCTATGATTTCTATATTCAAGCTCGTACTAAAACATGTCGGGAGAACAAATTTAGTCTCGGTCACCGGAGACTTAGACTATGAGAAAAAAAAGTTATCTGGAGTGGAACTAAAGATCATAACTAAATATTCTACAGTTTTAAGCGAATAATCTTATAAATCAGAACATAATTCAAAAGAGACGGTCGAAGATTCACTAAATAAATCACTAAACTAGTACTGAATAATTTTCTTTTCTTCAGACTGAGACTGCGACCAGAAAAACTTGATTTCGATCATGTCTATTCATACTGCACTATAGTTTCAAATGGGAACTATGTTTTATTTTCGGCAATCCAACTCTACCTCTCAGACCAATTGAAAGATGGTGCACGTGGTTTTAAAAAGGACGCAAATAGGAAGACTGACCTATCAGACCTGTAAATCAGGCTATATCTTTCACAATCATCCTCAAGATCAACTTTTTCGATATAAAATGAGATGCAATCTTGCTTGAAGGTTGCCATGATGACGGATTATTTGTTGAATGCTACCATGAGTTAAATCAGTTTCCGTCTCCGAAATCGAAATATTATAGAGTACTATTATTCAGATTCTGAGTACATATATTTCTCTGAGCCTTATATAAAATATTCTAGTGCTAGTATCACTACTTTTGGTACGTCCTACATAATTCTATATACCTTCTCTCAATTAATTCTAAGCTGATAATTTTCGTACAATAATATCTTCTTTATTGTTCCATCTGAGTTCATCATTTTATGAACATAATTGATTGATATCTGATAATGCACTATCATTTATTTGGATTTCCTATCGTTCAATTGGTATGTTTCCATCAGAATTAGTTACCCAAGGTAAATTAACAATTATTGATTTATTTATTGAATTATTGACGAGTGACGTTTGAATAAATGATCGTGACTAAGGTGATTCGATGATAAACAATATAGATTTGTATCATTGAACAATTTGAATAATATTCAACTTATCAATAATTGTGGCTTGGAGTGTGGGCGTTGGCATGAAGTGTTTTGCGAGTTAAAATAAGAATCACACCTTCCACACCCACGCCCTTGTAAGAAAGTTTTAGACAAATCAATAACGTATTTATTTTTTCTAGAAAAAAAGCTTCAATTAATTTTGTTTCCTCAGTGGCAAGTCATCATAGATTTTCTTTCAAGATTGAGGATGGATGTTGATGTTTAATCATCTCTTGATCTACACCCACACTGATTGAAATATATTGTTATTAACATCGTTTTTTCATCAACAGATATTAACAATAGGTGGTAATTTATAAGCCAAGACATATGTTGACGAACTCCCTCTTTCACAGTGACAGCAGCTGTATCGTGCTTTAAATTTTGCTTCTGCTGGAATTACGTTAACAGCCTTTTAAACTTTTAAATATTGTGATTATATGCTTTCATGTGTATCAAATACTATAATAGTTATCAGAAGACATAATTTATAGTGTAGTGTAGAACAGATGGAAAATAAATCGAACAATGTTTTTTTTGTTTCTTCAGAGAAGAATTTGTTGTGCCATTGTTTTCCATAGTTAGAAGGTTTTTTTTATTTAAGTTCATCAGATAATATTCACTTAAAAAATAGTCTACAATTTAAAGTATTTTTGTAGAGTTCATTAGAACTCCGAACATGTCTGTTCGAGATAATCAATGTTCTATATATTTCCTATATAGTGATAGAAAATCCTATGTAAATGGTGCTTTTGAATTCTTATATACTCTAGTACATCGTTTTTGTGTTGAAAGAATTGCTTTGCATTAATATTGCTCGTGTAAAACACAAGAAGCTAGAAAAATTATTCTTTTTCAATTCATAACAAGGGTGTGGCTGTAGGTGTGGTTATTTGAGGCCTCCCTAAAAATGACGCTCACACCCACACGCCATGTTAGATCGTATTTAGTTGATTGATAAAAGACACCATTTTTTTATGTATTCGATTTCATTTAATGTTCAATCAATAACTAATCTTTTTTGTCTTCAAAATATCATTGTCATTTTTTTCTTTTTCTATTAGCATTTAAAAATAAATTGATTTTTTGGCATTAAAACACACCGAATCTAAAAGTTTTGTCATTTAGCATTTGAAATCTCTTAAATATACTTGTCAATATTCAATAAAACAAAGAAATCTTCTACGCACTTCTTTTCTGTTCTGTTTTGTATGATTTTAAGTAATGTCTACCAAAATACTCATAAAAAAAATGAACGATAGGGAATGTAAAAATTCTGTTGAGACAAAAACTGCGCACCCATATTGGCTTCAGTTTAAAACCACCCCAAGACCTATATTTTTTGTTGTGATAAAGTTATAAGGATCCTCTTGAAGGCCTAAAATAGATTATGAGCTAGCTGGAAATCTAGTCTGTTTTTATCTACAGAGCTGAAATTTTTATCAGAAGTGTGTCTCACCAGGGCCATTCATCCCTGGAAATTTAAGGCCGAACGAACGAATCCAAGTGGTAAATCGATTTTAAGGGTCCCCCTTAAAACATAATATATTGGATATTTTAGAGTATGTATAAATTTCGTTCAAAAAAAATTATCGTTTATTCAAAATGAAGCGTTGTTGATTTTTGCTTTACAACGGCGTTCGTGGTAAAAAAAATACCGAAAACTATTCTAGTTACAAAGTGCCTAAAATAACAAATAAACAAAGTATCTAAAATAAGACTCTTCGCTTTTGTTGCACGTAAATTCACTATACAGAGGTCTGTTTACACCAATCATCGGTGGGGAACCGAAATATGCATTCAAACAGGAGGTGTTCGCTAATGAGAGCTTTACTGTATTTAGAGTGATTATTTTCTTCCTTTTGGATACATTTCTCTGACGATTTTTAAGCAATTTTTACAAAAAGAATACCTACCTCATCCAGCTATTTAGAATGAACGTAGTTTTCATTTATAGAGAATGTTCCCTATGTTGTCAATCGCAATCAATATCTAGCTTTCTTTCTTCCAGCATCAGTCATATTTATCTTAGATGCAAAATAAATTTCGTAAGAGAAAGAAATTACATATCGTATGAATCATTTTCATCAGAAGGACAGAAGAAAAAAAAGAAGTCGTCAACTATGCAAATTTTGCTGGCGTTGTTTCTATATTAATAACAATAGGATAAGCAATAAAATATCTCTCGTTCAAAAAAATATGACTTTTTCTCTAGAGGTCCGACTTGAGCGAGTTATCAAAAACTTACCTTTTGCAGAGTAGAAGATTTTCAACGAGATCTTCTCTCCATGCAAAGACTTCATCATTGCACTTGCGATGAAGTCAATGCATGCGATGTTTCACTACGTGTGAAACAATCGGGCGGAAAATTTTTTCCTGTTCGATGCGTTCGCGCATCGAACTTCTTAAAATAGCAAAAAATAAAGAAAATAGGGCAAAAATATTCTGCTTCTCCTAAAACCAATTGGCTCGAATTTGTAGCACATTTTTTTATTGTTCTACATAAAACTGCCCCATCCTCAACTATCACAATCGGAAAACGTAAAACCTTTTGGAAACGAGATTTTAATAGAAATTTTTTTTCTCCGCTCGTTAGAAATCTAGCACATACAGTACGGACCACTAAGCCATGATTCAAACATAAAAACTTAATTCTATTTTTACAAATCAAAAAACTTCCAAATACTATCATTTTTTCTGGTAGATTTCGGTTTTTCTACAGATAGACTATGCATATAAGTAAAAAAAGGGGTGTGGATGTGGGTGTGGGATGTGGGTGTGTGTGGGGTGTGAGTGTGAATGAAGAACATAGACACACCCATCACCTACACCCACACCCACACCCCACCCACACCCTCAAGGTTCTTATTTACAACACAAGCAGTCTCATCTTGTTCCATGTTGTAATCACCATAGAATTACATCAGACGGTTTTTCTTAAGCATAATTTTAATTACTAAAAATCTACTTCATACTATCGATTGCAACAAACTCTCTCATTCATAGTGAGCAAATTTTATGTTTTGTATGATAAAAAGGAAATTTTCTAAATTTTAAAAATTCGTGACATATTAAATAGCTATGAACAGAATCAAGACAATTAAAACTTATAATATTTATTAAACAATTCAATTTTACATTGTGAAAAAAACACAAAGTACATTATTTAATAATATTTAATTGTATACAGTCAAATAAAATATTGCGATAACCATAATCTGATCTAATTCGAAATCCAAAATAAATATTCAATAATTCGAATACTTTTATTTTACCCATTGTTTCATTAAACCAATTAATGTTTCCATGTAATAAATAGTTTGATTCAAACCAATCAAAATTCATTGTTTTCGAATCACATTCACAATCGAAACCATGATCAGCTAGTGCATAAAAAGAACATTCGACACTTTTTTCTACTTCATGATCTTTACTACAACATTCAGTATAGTATGGTAAATATACGTTGTTCGTATCCAGTTTAATATGACATATAATTTCATAGATTCCAGGTAATATTGATTTAAATTTACCTTTTATACCACCTAAATCTCTCGATGGAGTTGAATATAAACGAACACATCGACCTGTTAAACTATTTAAATCATATTCATGATTTAGATATTCCTGATTTAGATATTTTCGCAAGGGGCAACTTCTATGACGTGGTGTACAGCGAAGATCTATTACAAATAAATCAACACCTAATAAACGTTTAGCTTCAATAAAATAATAATAAATTAATTTATACATTGATATTTGTCGAATATTTTCATTATTTAAATATTTATTTCCATTTAAATAAGATTCAAAGAATTCTTCAGTTGTTAAAGACATTTTAAATTCATTTGTACGTGGACATCATTTTTGTTTAATTATACTTTTATGAGCTATATAGCCATCACTAGTATCTTTACCATTTAATACATTCCATAACCAAACATTACACATTTCCCACTCGAAATGTCTTCGAAAACATTTTTCAAATTTTTGTATATCTTCTTCTGTTCGATATAAAACATAATCAGAATTTTTCTTGTTTTGAAATATTTGATTAACATAACGCTGATATAATATCGATCCAAAATGATTTTGAATTAATAGCATCCAAAAATAATCATTATTTTCAATTAAAATATATAGTTGTTTGCATGTTTTTGATAAGTTTATGATATCAATGAAAAATAAATATTTACATATATTATATAAAACATGATATGGAAGATCGTTTATATTCGTTTTAATCTGAAAAGAAAAATATCAAATAATCTGACAAATGATTTAAAATAAAGAAAAGAAAATAACAAAAAAAAAATGTCTTTTTGTTTTTATCTATGCTAAATACCATTTCCACCACCATCATCATCATCATCATTACTTTCATCCTATCGTAAAAAACAATTTAAGATTAATCAAAAAAAGTAAATAAATCTTACGCAAATTGTTATTCCATGTCTACATCTAAAAACAAAAACATTTGTATTTTAATAATTCTATGAATAAATTAAATTAATGAATACTTATAAATATGAATCAAAATTGTTTTTGATCTAAGATAGAAAATATTAAATTATTAGAGGTGAAAGTGTCATTTTACTTCATTAATGGTGTTTCGTTGATCATTTGTACCATTTTTAATAATTTCTTCTTGAAGTAAAATAATATTTCTGTTTAATGATTTAAATAAATCGTGGAAAGGTCCGAATGATTGAACCTTTTCTTGCTCCTAAAATCAGACAAAAAAAATGACATATTTAGAGTATTTTTTTAAACATATATTACGCACGAAATGTTCACGTAATGCTTTTCATGAATAAATAAATACATCGAGTCCATTGTCAATGCTTTTGCCTTGAGCTGAAGAACTGAGCCATTGAATAGGGTGTGGGTGTGGGTGTGGATAACCAAAGTACCAACACCCACACTCAGAACATCAATTACAAAATACCGATCGAACAGCTAATAATACAATTAACTATCAAAATTTATCATCGAGTTTCGATTGCCTTCCAGTAAACAATTTGTTATCTTTTACTCATACAACAGCTTTACAACCATTACAAAATTTAACATCAGTAACTATGTTTCGATGTCATCAATGTCTCCGAGACTTATTACCGTGGGAAGCAATTAATAATTGTGTTCAATGTAGTCTTATTATATGTTGGCAATGTGTAGGTTTTTCCCACGGTTCTGCTTTTGTTTGTGATACTTGTCAAAACAAAAATAGATTTCAACAATATTCTTCATGGTAAATATAATCTAGAAAACTTACAAAAAGAAAACAAATTTTTTTTTCATTTGTCACTCAACATATCGTGCTATTTCTTATGAAATTGTTATTTTTACGTGGTTTGATTTCGTTTTTATCTATCTATCAAATACATGTACTTCTTGTTTATTATAAATAATAAATGAACAACGTTTTACGCTTATACGAACAGATTTTTCTTGATGTTGGCTCTAAATTCTTCCATCTCACTATAAAAAAAAGCATCCATAGACTCGTCCATATACATCTTTATGTGTATTATGATTTATTTTAAATAATAAAAAACTGAGAATTGCTCTACATCTCTAGAAATTGATGTTATATATCTTTTTGGTAGCGGACATTTTTTTCTAGAGCCTGAAGTTTACTCAAAAACTGATTTACATAATATTTGAATATCTCCAGCTATTTTACGTAGCTGTTTGCAATTACCCCACTTGGTGTAAATGCATAAAATTTTACTATTTTTTTAATTTATTATTTTAACTACTGTTTTGTCTATTTAATGAGTTTTACAGTAAGATTCTCACCGATTGTAGAGAATTACTAGCTCTATCTACCTGTCAAAAAATTACTAATCAATCTTGTATGGTTGATGAGAGAACCGATTTTTAGTGGTTCTATGTAAAATTGCTGGGAATTTGCAATTACCCCATGTGGAGTAATTGCAAAAATATTCTAGGTGGCTCTAGAAAAATCGAGATTGAACGACTTTGAACAGATATTTCTTGATAATTTTTAGATGAGTTTATAGAGAAGACATTACTCTACACGTCTGAAAAAAAACTAAAAAAAAATTCCAAAAATTGATCGAGTTATGATAAGTACAAGTGAAAAGAATGATTTTTTGTTTGCAATTACCCCACTCTACTCTAACATTTTGTTATCTTTGAAAAAATCCAATTTGTTTTTTCACAATATAATTTCTAACAGGTGATATCATCATGTAAGTAAGCATGCTGTTTAATTGTTTACAAAAAACCAGGAGATATTCACTAATTGATATCTAAATTTTTTCATTTGATACTTCACATTTTTTGCAATAATATAACATTTAGTTTTTGATGAACCTCTATGTGAATTAACTACTAAAGTATCCTATGCTATAGTTAATGCTTCTGGCATATCTAGTGATTCAATAAGTACATTTAAGTGATAAACTGATAAGATAAATTTTATTGTAAAATCAGTTCGTATATACACTGTGTTTTGATGCATCAATGTTTTTTCAAATTCATTTCATCAATATTGTTCAGAATCCTATACTTAAATTATATAAACTGATTTAACATCAGTTTTATCTTGTAATGATGCCATAATTGATAATCATATTAAAGTTATTGATTGCTTCCTACATTTTTCTGATTTTCACATCACATAGTTTTGTTTATGAAGCTAAATAAGATACGTTTTCTTTTAATTAAAATTTTTGACACACAACAAATCTTTCCCTACTCGCTTTGACATCAATTTCATATGTTGTTCTTTTATCAACTGTGTATTAGTCTTTGCATATTTTGGGTCATTCGTGATTGTTTACTTTATTTATTCAAATTAGGTGTACTAACTAACATATCTTTTTTTTTATGTTGATTTAATTGATTCATCGACGAGAAAATTGTATTGAACGATGAAGAACTTCAACGGTTACTTGTGAAACATTTATAGTTTATGAATACCAGAATCATGAGATGATTCCACATGATATAAATAAGAATGAGTAAAACGAACATATTGGTTATCTTTTATTACTAATGATAAATCATAATAATAATTAGTGTTACTGCTAAAAATCTATAGTTTAAATTAATTATCTTTTACTACTATCAAGCTAAATTAAACAGATCTACGAAAGTATTTTATATGTATATAATGTTTTTTTTATCGCGGTTTGAGTTCTAAACATTCATCTGGACGAAAACGTTTTTTAATGCACAGATTTGGTTTACAACATGGTACCATATTGAATTTGCACAAGACACAATCTTCATTATTCATTTGTTTCTCAAAACTGTTTTCATCATACTTCTTCAAGAATGTGCGAGCATCAATACCAGATAATTCCAAATCATCATTATTTTCGATCGATAAATGTTTTGCTTCAAGAGCCACAAATACAACAGTAATAATCAGAAGACCAAAGAATCCAAATATCTTCATTTATATCTATATGTAATAAAGAATTATAGAAAGTCAGATAAGAGTATGAACTCACTTGTATTAAAATATATCAGTTCTTTTTTTTTTACTATTGTTAATGCCGATTATGTACATATATATATATACGTATAGATTGCCCTTGTATTGCTTTTTACATACGCTCTGTCTCTCTCTCTCTCTCTTATTGTTCACATAAGAAGCAAAGAAATAAATCTTTAATATATGATCAAATATTGAGAATCAACTCATATATCGTTCTTAATATATGGATATATCTTACATTTATTTAACAAATGAGAGTTCGAATGTTTTATTCAAGTATATTAACTTTCAATGTTTGATAAAATAGAACTATTTCAAAGGATCATTTGTCAAAGGTTTTTGTAATTTTTAAATTATAAACTTTATACGTTTTGCAAGAATTTTTATTGAGAGAAATAAATCAAATGAATAAATATTAAAAAGTTATTAGAAGACAGATCTTTATGAGATTGATAGAATCGATTTTATTTTTAAACAATTATGCTTGCAAAAATTGATCTTTCGGTTTTTGATTTGTTACTTTCTATGGTAAAAATTAATATATATCACATACTTTCAAAGAAAGGGAAGATGACACGTTTTAACGACGAATTTCTTCTTCTATTACACACTATAACAGGCAATGGTAGAGGTAGGTGTATAATTGAGATTGACAATTGGTCATTTTTTTTTTTATTGGTAATATCTTACAGCAATGCTACGCATTGAGTGAATCTATTGTTTTTCTTTGATATCAACTGCCAGATTAACCAAATATTTCACAATATAGGAAGCGAATATTTAAGATAATACAAGCGCCTTTTTCTTTTTCAAGAGAAAGCTTTAAACAAAACAAGAATTTCTTTATTTTCTGTTATATATGACTCCATCACGGATCAAACATGATAAAGACGAGCGAGTATATTTATTAATATTTTAATAAAAATTTTCAATAAAAATTAAAAAAAAGAAACAGGTTATTATCGAATTTGATGATACAACTCGTGCATGGAACGATTGGAAACATGGAAATATTATTCAAAAATCATTTGTTCACGAACGCTTTACTCTCTCATTAATAGAATGTACAAAAATATATATGACACATAATGATTCATTTGAAAATATTGATCGATTAATATCATCAGAACCTATTGATATACCATCTCTTGTTAGAACACCACCTGAAATAAAAATAAATTGTCATATATGTCGTAAATATCAAGGTCAACTGTATCCATGTCGTATATGTGGCAAAGTTTATCATCAACAATGTATCAAAGATATTGGAGATACAAAATCATATCATTTAATTAAAAATGCTATTAACATAATTGGTGTCACTGTCCGTTCAATAATATAATGGTCGTGTCTATATTTCGAATAACTTTATCTCGCTTTGTTTGTCCGTTATATGTCAAGAAGAACAATTTATCACACTGAGTCTAGTGATAAATTATCCTTCTTTACAATAGTTTTTGGATGTTCTCAGATTGATTGGCTGAAATCAGGAGTCGCAGAAAAAACTTTTATAGCTGGCAAACGAAACAGGATGGAGATGTCGGCTTTGCGAAGAATGAATGAACACAACTTTTTCTATCGAGTGGTCTTATTAAAAATGAAATGAAGAACGTGTTCAGAACATTCCTTGCTA